TGCAAGCAATGTTCACCCCACGTCTCTTCATCGAAAACCTTGTTCTCAATGGTTTCAGTCTCTTGCCAAACTTCAGGCCTGCAATCTAACATGCTAGACACAGCTATTCCTGTGTTTGCAAACGTGGCTGGAAGAACTCAGCTCTTTCTTAAGGTGATCACTCAGGAAAAGTACCAGAGCATATAGCTCATCCCAGTGAGAAGCTAAGTCCTGTGACACGAGGGTTTGAGAGCCATATAGGCACCTAGGGGTGAGGTCGTGTCAACATGGGCTGCCTCAGCATTGCTTATGGGACCTGGCCCTTTGTGTGAGCCGCTGGCTTAGTTCCCTCCTCAGTAAGACACAAGTGAGTGGAGGGAGAGCGATTCCCATCAGCTGAAGAGCTGGCATGTTGAGAAATCATAGAATTCTATGAGTCGGAAGAGTCCTTAAGGATCACCTAGTTCCAAACCCATGCTATAATAAATACTAACTACAGAATCTACATTCACCACCTCTTAAGACTGAAGCAGGTTCAGAAGAGCCCGAAAGTCATGGTGTCTGCCATCTACCTTACAACTACAACAGGGACACAGTCTGGTGAGTGGTGGCCCTTGCAGGGCTGGGGTTCTCATGCAAGGACAGTGGCCATACTGTCACCCCTTGGCCACCTCAGCAAGACACTAGCACAGAGCTCTGCTGGGAGGATTCCTGCCATGAAAGTCCTTAGCAGCTCCATATGAGCAGGAGCTCATTCTGACTTATTTTGACTCATTCCTGACCCACGAGGATTTAATTGTCTGGAGGTTTTATTCACCACTTTTACAGCTCAAGGCCTGCAAAGCTTCGTCAGAAGGGTGCCTGCATGCACCTGCACTCACAAGCACACACAAAGCTGAAGAACTCAGAGATCTGCTTTTCAAGGGATCAGCATAGCCAGCTCAAAGCTCTGCATGACTGGCAGCAAAGACAGGGCTGGGTAGCCCCTGAACACCTCCAGTACCCTACATCCAAGCTGTGTGACCCAAAGTGACAGCCCAGCTTCAACTCAGGGATTATGTGATTGGTATCCTGGTCCAAGACATCAAAAAAAAGAAAGGACTTTTTCATGTTACACTTAAGGAGGTTAAAGCTCATCTTCTTTTGACAGCAGGCTCTTTTGTACAAGCGCTACTTAATCCAACAAAGGATGCGGTGCTGAAAAATCAACAACTCCTTGGAAAATGCAAAAGCCCACTGTCTGTTTTGCTAGCACCACTTCAGCAATGCTGAGCAGCACTCCCTGCAAGTGTACAGTTCAGCCTGTTACTGCACATAAAACACATAAAGAAAAATACTCCAGGCTTTTGGGTTTGCCTGTGCCTTTTCATCTTGGGTACAAAGGGATGCAGCGTCACTGGTACAAGGATAGGCTCATGGTTGTGGGTGTCAACTTCTTCATAAGCTATGATATTCTGTTTTCTGATGGAGAAAAGTGGGGCAGAGAGGAAAAACAAAACAAAAAGGGTGGGATGGTGAAGCATGGAAAGGTCTTAGCAGTGCCAGCAGGCAGTCTGGTTGAGCGTGGCACATCACACTGCCATCCTGTCTCATGGTTTTCCCTGTTGAGATGGGGACTATGAGACACATTTCTAATGAATAATAGAAAGCACTTGGCTGTTATTTCCCTGTCCTTTTCAGTAGTGGCTAGATGTCAAAATCCGATGAAGAAATGCAAAGAAAGAGAAACACATTCGTGTATGCAGAGCACATAATCCCTGGTCTCTGATAAAGGTTAAGCTCATCCTGTCTCCTCCCTCACAGCGGGGGGACAAACATTATTTCTCTCTTCTCCCCAGTGACCACTGAAACATGTCAAAATACAGCTTTTTCAAAGCCTCTCTCTGAAAACTGGAAAGGCTCCAAATGTTCCATAAGTTATCATGAAGAAACACATGCTCCTCCTCCACATGGTCATGCATGCCTCACATCAGCATGGAAACCAAAGAAAATCCTTTTACCAGTTTCTTTAAAACCAACCCAAGCAATGGCATTTGGAGTTGTGCCCACTCCAGCAACCCATGGGATGTGGCAAAATGATTATAGAGCTATGCATCCTTCAATCACAGTATGAGGGAGGTAATTATGGTATGGAGTAAATGCAGCAGACGGGGAAGTGCTTGCTCTCGCGTGCTTGGACTCCGATCTGCCCCTGGCAAATCTCATGTGCAGCTAGGGAGGAAAGTGGGTTTGGAGGCTATTTGAGCACCTACGTATGCTGAGAAGTGTCCAGTGGGATTTTTCAGGTGTATTTCTGTGCCAGCCAGACACAGCTCCATGGAGGTTGCATGGAATGATAGAATCCCAGACTGGTTTGAGTTGGAAGGGACCTTAAAGCTCATCCAGTTCCAACCCCTGCTACAGGCAGGGACACCTTCCACTAGAGCAGGTTGCTCCAAGCCCCTGTGTCCAACCTGGCCTTGAACACTGCCAGGGATGGGGCAGCCACAGCTTCTCTGCGCACCCTGTGCCAGGGCCTCAGCACCCTCACAGGGAAAAATTTCTTCCTAATATCTCATCTCAATCTCCCTTCTGTCAGTTTAACAAAGTTAAAGAAATGAAACTTGGGATCAGGAGCTCACAAGGCAATGCCCTGCTCCTGAAAATTGGATATCCCAATGGAAAGGAACTGGTTTTGCTTTCACAGAGTGCATTTCTGAATCCACTGCTCCTCCCTGCTGACTCAGCTGATGCACATCTTCATTTCCACCATGCACACAGACCCTCACAGCTGCATCTTAGAATCCTAGAATCAGCTGGGTTGGAAAAGACCTTTACAATCACCAAGTCCAGCCCTTTCCCCAGCATTGCCAAGGCCACCACTAACCCATGTCACTGAGGGCTATAGAAGGGTTTGGCCTTAATTTTGGTTTCATTTTTTTTTTTTTTTCCACTGGAAAATGTCAATTTGTTGGGGTTTTGCAGAAGAGCCAGTTTCAGTGAAGGCTTGTGGGTTCTCAGGGTTGTGATGGAAGTGCTGGAGGGGAGGCAGGCAGGGAAGGACAGACCGATGTGGCCATGCTGGATTGGGATGAGCAGGGACTTGACCATCTTTCTGCAATAGATTTGGGAAATGGGTTCTCGGCTCATTCAGCTGTTATGGACAGAGCTAAGAGGAAAGACCGGAGCAAAGGAGAACTCAGGGGTGGTAGCACTATCATCATCATCAGTTTTTAGAGGGGAGAGGTGAAAAGATTTCTGCATCCAACCCAAAGCAATAATCAGAAATCAAAATTCCTCAGAAACAATCCTTCCTCCTGGCTGGATTTAGCCACAGCCTGTCCTGATGCATCCAAGGGGTTAACTAACAAAGGTTAATTTAGTATCTCTCAACCTAGTAAGAGCAAAGCACTTCGCTGACAGCTCCTAGCTTTAGGCAACCCCATTCAGTTCTCCATCAGGCCCTTGTAACCCTAATGATTCTGTGATCATGCTAAAACAAACAACACCCAAGTTTCCATTTCCAGTGCCTATATCCTCCAGCACAATACTATTATCTTCCCCTGCCTACACATGGCCTTTTCCACCTTCCCTCTGTTTCTGTTTTGTGGATTCACGCTGGCCCCTGGAATCAGTTCACAGTTAATGTGGATGCCCTGTCCTCCATACACTGGTTCTCAGCACAATTAGTTTCTCAGCCATACTGCTGTGAAGTACTTAATTACGTTGTTCATTTTGCATTTATTGGACTGTGCTGTGCTTCCCCTGCATTTCTTAAAGCAACCCCCAGGCCTCCTGAAGGAACGCTACCACAGGACATGAAGGAGCACACTGTTCTCTCCAGCACAGAGCAAACACACTGCTAATGGTGTTTTCTAACGGTGACAGCTCTCAGCCCTTCCTTGGCTGCAGCACTGGTGAAAACCCCTGCTTAGTCCATGTGTGTGAGGAGACATGGCCGTGATGGTTAACTTTCCACTGTCATCGTCATCAGACAAATCCCTTGACCAAAGCTTGAGAAATCAATAGCACTCAAACAAGGAAACCTGTTATATTCCAGTGGACAAACTTCATGGAAAACAAGAAAGAGTGTTTTTGATATTGGAGACTAGTATTCTTCATATCTGAAGTGCTGGCTCTTGTCTGACAAAGAGCCAATGGTAGTAGATGTTTAGAGCAGACAGGTTAGAAAGACAGGAGAAAGAGTGAATGATTTCAGTGCTGTGGAGTACACACTGTAGTTGGCAATAGACATTTCTATCACCGGTAGGTAGAAATATAAATGAATGTTCCCTTGCAGTCACTGATGGGACTTCCAGTGTGACTTCTTTTCTGTCACATTACATTATCTGCCATGCTGGGAAACTCAATAATTACTCTGCAGGCACTTCTGAAGACACACTTGTCGGAACAAATGATGGGGCAAGACTTGATGGCTAGTTAGGCACCGGCTGGAAACCTGCAAGCCCATCTCATGAAGGAAACAAACCAAACCACGGTCACTTCTCTGGGAAGAATATTTCCATATTAAACTTGGACAAGAAGAACAGGCTGAGCAGTTTTACAGGGGGAAAGGAAATGGTTCCTGGAAAGTAAATTAGGTTCTGCAGAACAGAAATTACTTTTCTTCTAGCTAGTTTGCTTTTCCGGATGAGCAGTTCAGGAACCAATAGATCAGTCTCCCCAATAGGAAATCCGAGTGTTTGAGATAGCAAAGGCGTTTTCCACTCAAAAGTCATGTCCACAGAAAATCCATAGCTAGAGACCATACAACCTGACATGGAACCTGACCATCATCAACTAAACCCTAAAATATTTTGTAGATTCCTCCCTCAGCAAAGTATCTCACAAGACAACCACCATTATCAGAGAGACATACCAAAGTGAGGAACACATTACCCTCTCTAAATACCTCCCGCTGCCCCAGAGAAAGGATGTCTTGGCCCACCTTTGGGGTTTGGTGGATTTCCCTTGCTGGTGCACAGTGATGGCTACTCCATGGATACAAAACTCTGAGTTACCAGGAGATGTTTGAACATTACCTCATGAGACAGATAAAAGGCAGCAATCCCCAACGGCCAGAAGCAGCAGAGCATGGAGAACACAGTGAGGCCGAGATGGTCTCTTGGTGGCATCATCAGGAAATTGTCTTCACTTTCGGTGTCGCTTGAGTAATCGCTCTGGAATAGCAAGGGGAAGAGAAACAGAAAGGTGCTGGTTAATGGCATCCTGTGCAATGGACCAAGGCTGTGATCCTCTCCCTGGTCACGCCAGGGCAATTCCTCCACATCAAGACAGGCCTCACCAGCTGTGTCACAGCCTCCATCACTACTGAATGAACCTGACGTGTTCTCTCTCTTACAACACAATGCCGAATCCTGAGCTTATTGGATAGATCTTCCCTATCCAGAAACATTTATGACTTTGGGAACCTTTTGACAATTTGGCTGCATCATCGGCTGTCTTCACTTTATTCCTGATTCTGGAAGAGCTGCACCTTAACACAAGGAAGCTCTGGATGCCCCATCCCTGGCAGTGTTCAAGGCCAGGTTGGATGGGGCTTGGAGCACCCTGCTCTAGTGGAAGGTGTCCCTGCCCATTGCAGTGGGTTGGAACTGGGTGAGCTTCAAGGTCCCTTCCAATTCAAACCAGTCTGGGATTCTATGACACCAGAGGAGCTGGACATTAGAGGGTCCTCTGAGAAATCAGAATTACTTTCACCAGTTACAGTCAGCTTGGGTTAGATGACCAATCACCAATATGGTCCTTTCGTGTTTAACAGTCTCTTTATGGAGACAATTACATCCTGATATCACTAACCTGTCTGAAAGCTTTTCACTCTAGCAGAAGTTAGGGAATAGCATAGCTAATGGACTTGTAAGGTTTTGGTGGTGAGCAAGACTAAACAGGCAAACCTTTATTTAATGTTAAGTTAGATGAGTTTAAGCAATCTGAAATACCAAACTATCAGGTTTTGCTTTATAGTGGTGTACCTCCAATGCACCAGCCAACCAAACAACAAGCAATCAAAAGAGAACCTGTGTAGCCATTCAAAAGAATACCCAGCAAAGAGCATCCCTTTCCTGGCTGAGATATTCTGTTCATTGTTAGAGCAAAGATCCCTCAGAGTTACTCTCCTAATGAATGCCAGTTACTCCAGGCTTTTTACTGAGCTGGTAAAAACACGGTCTAGCTCTCCTCTTTGAACAGAGCTCCTCTAACTTGTCCATCAGGCAATACCACTATCTCCATGATGCTAGAAAACTCTGAAGAAGAAACAAGGCAAAACACATCTGGATGCAGCTTCAGCCATGTAAGTGACAAGAGACAGGAGCAGTGTCATGGGGTGGTAAGAAACTGCAGCAGCAGCTGAGGGTCCTTTCATGATGTGGAGGGAATCACCCCTTTTCAGACACGACATCTTGCACAACACACAGTATCTATAGAAGGCAGCTCCTTTCCACTGCCACTCAGGCTCTGACTTGGAGACACATCTTTGTGCTGCAATGGGAAGGATGTAACCTCGGGCAGGTGCACAGTCCTCCCCCCGGCCAGGTGAGCTGTGCTCTCTGCAGCCCATGCAATGTGCTGCTGTGAGAACTCCTTCCTGTGCCCATGGTCCTGCAGCAGGCATGACATCTCTCTAAATCACTGAGCATGCAGCAGGGATTTCCTGCTTCCAATGCATCATCCTTTGTAGCAAAAGCTGTTATTACAACCACAACCCTCCTCATCCTCCCTGACTGCTGCTACACATCCCTCACCAACACAACTGGAGCTCAGCTGAGAAGACAGCACAGGATAAAGCAATCTCTGCCTCAGTTTACTCAAACCCTTTTTCATGTCTGTGACAAGGAAGAGGTGACCTCAGGAGGGCAGGCATGACTGGAGTTGCCAGGAGTTGAGGGTCCCCTCCGCAGGGCATAAACTCTTGCAGAAAGCACACAGCACCCTGCCCAGATGGATGCTGATTACAGTGAATGACAAAGAAAGCAAGCAGCCCTTTCCCTCCCTCTTTCCCTTTCATTTTCCCTTTCCCATCAGGTCCCATCCCTTCTATTCTCCCAGGTAATGCGGGAAAAGGACCTGCAGACAATGGCCTGTCTCTGCAGAGGACTAGGTGACGCCATCAGAGGTTTCAGGCTTTCACTGCATGACCCAGCTGCAGCAGCCCCACACAAGACCTTTGACAGTGTTATTTACACACATTTTTACATGGTGCACATCTCTGCACACCTAAAATGCATTAGACACAGGTGGTTTTGGCATGACATAAACTGCATTTCTGCAGGAACTGTCGATGTGACAAAGGATGAAGAGGAGAAATGATCTCCCCTGCTCTCAGAGGGCATGGGATTTTGCAGCAGCTGGAATTTGGGTGCTAGACAATTCAACAGGAAATCTTGACCTCTATTTTCAAGGGGGCTGCTTCTGATGCTTCCCAAATGACCTGAGCAAGAGGTCAGCCTTGAACATAACCAGAAACGTGGCCACCCTGGAGACTGGTAGAATGAAGCTCAAACACTGGCAGATTTTAGTCCAGGAATTTCACTGGCTCCTCCAGCTGATAGCAGTGCTTCCTCAGCAAGTAAGTGTAGAACAGAGGAGAGAGAGAAGAGGGTATTAATATGGGATACTGAATCATGTAGACACCCCATTCCAGAAAGAACCATGGCTTGGGAGCAGGAATGACCTGGCAGAGAGCAAGGCTGTCTGTACACAGTGCTGAACGTGGGGTGTGCGCTTTGGGCTGTATTTCACGAGAAGGGCCACTAGAAGAGAGCGTTCAGTGAAGAGCAAGCTGCAAACAAACCCCCTCTGTGATGCACCACAGGAGCAACAAACGTGATCCATGGAGAGGAAAGGTACACCCTGAGTCCAGGTCTGGTACCAGCATTCCCCATGCTGGAGAAGTCAGGAATCAGAAGGCAAGTACATGCATCATGCCACAGAGAAGTCTTCCACCCAGGAAGAAAGAAGAGAAGCAGACCTCACTTGTAAGATGAATTTAAGATGCAATTTCACCACAGTCTGTAAGTGCCTGCATGAGTAGATAATTTCTGATCAGAGACAGCTCTTTCATTTGGCAGAAAAGCAGCAGAAACCCCAGCGGCTGAAAGCAGAAGAGATGAAGAGCAGACACAAGGTGCAGATTTCTAATCGAGATGGTGATGAACACTTTTCTGCAGTTGTAATGGATTTTCTATTACACGAAGCCCTTTCTTAAATCGAGGCTAGCAATCCCTAAAAGCTACGTGCTTTACCTCAATCCAGACATGATGAGTGCACAGAGGCTCTGCAGACAGCCTCCCGTGGGCTGCTTGTGACATACCAGAGGCTGGATTTGGTGGTCACATTGTCCCTTACAGTATTAAAACGCCAAGCACTCTGGAGAAGTCAGACAACAAGGTCTGCCGTGAACCACCGCTGCCAGTAACCTTTGATAGATATTCAGGAAACAGCCCTCTTGGTATTACTCCCTTTTCCCCTCAAAGCAACCAATTCAGCAACACGCATATGCTGCACACAAAACTAATTTCTGGTCAGGCCCTGTGGGATCTGCTTCAAACCCAGATGGTCCAGCGGTCTGACTGGGACAGACCAGCGCATGATGCGACTGTAAGATAATATGTGCTCTGTTTCCCTCCACTAAATGCCTGTTCCGGTAATGCAGTTAAACATAATAACCGTGTTGTGACCAGTACTCTGCATCCCTTTACTCTCACTGCAAACAGTGTGGGTTCACTGAAATGCAGCAGACATTGAAGGCAGCAAGCTGGGTCGGAGGACTTCCACCAAGGGATGCTGTTTACCTCTGCTCTGCCTCAACACACTGAGTAGGTACGCAGCATCTGGCTGATGCTTATTGAAGGGGTGATGTGTCTAAAACCTGTTGTTATACAGAATCCCAGACTGGTTTGAGTTGGAAGGGACCTTAAAGCTCAACCAGTTCCAACCCCCTGCTATGCACAGGGACACCTTCCACTAGAGCAGGTTGCTCCAAGCCCCTGTGTCCAACCTGGCCTTGAACACTGCCAGGGATGGGGCAGCCACAGCTTCTCTGGGCACCCTGTGCCAGGGCCTCAGCACCCTCACAGGGCAGAATTTCTTCCTAATGTCTCATCTCTATCTCCCCTCTGTCAGGTTAAAGCCACTCCCCCTTGTCCTTAAATGCCCTTGCAAAAAGTCCCTCTCCGTTCTTTGTCCTGGTGACATATTATTTATTTATTCTATTTTCCCTATTTGTTTATTCCTTTTTACTATTTTGAGTTTTGCAGTTGCTCCCTTTCGGTTTCAAAGGTCTTTAAATGATGCATCATACACGAACCCTGACCTGGTCCAGCTCCTCCTGTTTCCCCAACTCCCAGCCTGAATTGCCCTGTCAGCTGAGCAGCCAGCCTTGCAGAATGGGCTCACAGAGGTCTCTCCTTGCTTGGAAAGCTTTCCATATATAACCTTGCAAAACCAAAAGGTACCAGGGGCAAAAAGAAACCCTGGATACAACTACCCAAGCCCGTTCTTCCCCTGTCTCCTGGATATGAACATCTGCCTTGGGATGTTTCCCTGACACCAGCATCCAGTCTGCCTATAGCTCAGGGACTGCACTGCATAGCATCAGTCTGAAAGCTCAGGGAAGTGCTGATGGGAAAGGGAATCACTCTGGGCCCCAGCTGCTATTAACAGGATTCATAGGAGGGCACTTGGAGACTTCTGAAGGTGACTTCCCAGCCATTGCTTCCTTCACCTAGGGCTGGTTAATAAAGGTTAATATCCCTTGGCAGGACTCAGTATCTCCAGACTCCAGTGGCTTCTCCTTTAAGGGAGAAAAATAAATCAAGTACAAATGAAGTGTAATCACTCTCATAACCTCTTAATAATGTATCTGTGCAGAAATCCAGGGACATAAAGTGTGTGTGTCCTATGGGGTCAGACCAACGGCCCATTGAGCCCCATGCTCTGCCTCTGACAGCAGCAGCAGGACATGACATAAACCGAGCCATTTTGCAGTCCATCCCTTGCACTCCCCCAGCACCCACCACTGCTGTGTAAGAGGTATCCTGTGTTCTGCTGAGCATGTCCCATGGGAGAAAAGAAACTAAAATTATGTTCCCAGACCCACAACACATCCCTAGGTGAGCCCTGGCACAGGGTGCCCAGAGAAGCTGTGGCTGCCCCATCCCTGGCAGTGTTCAAGGCCAGGTTGGACACAGGGGCTTGGAGCAACCTGCTCTAGTGGAAGGTGTCCCTGCCCATGGCAGGGGGCTGGAACTGGATGAGCTTAAAGGTCCCTTCCAACCCAAGCCATCCTATGATGATTCTGTGATTTACTTCACTGTTTTCTTCAGTTCCCAATGTGCAGGATGGAGAAGATACTGTTTTCCCACCTGCAATGACCAGTGAATTCATTAGTGTAAGGTGTCAGACCCTGAAGGGAAATGGCTATACAAGCAAATACCTAAAGCGTGCAAGACCTGCACTAGCCTGCCTCTTTGCCCACGTTGCAGAGCTCTCTGGAAAGGGAACCCCGCCATGCTCAGGTGCCCAAGGGAACGTCTAAACATGTTTTCTGGATACCTACTCCCAGGGGTTGCTGAAGCTACAGGAGCTTGGGTCTTATCAGCACAATGCAGGACAATCCAAGCCTGTGCAAACTGGAAACATCAGGAGAAAGCAGGTACATGGTGGGGCTCAACATGCGTAAACACCTCCAGGGCTGCCTCTTCATGTTGTGGAAGACACATGAGCAAGGGGTGCTTGGGCCCACTGAGAAGAGGGGTTAGATGGAAGAAGACATGGCTTAGGAGCCACCTTCTCTCTTTGCATTTTCATGCTCATGTCCCAGGGATGAGTTTCATAGCAGCATCCAGCAATTTGTATGGGAATAAAAGAAGGCAGGTTTAATTTGAAAACACTATGTTTCCTTTCTTCTTTCACTCCCCAGAACATTCTATTTATTTCATTTTCAGAAACTGTTTCAGACACACATCGCTGGGAAAAAAAGGAAAAAGGTTTTAAGAGAGTGCTCAGATGTATTCTTTTATGCTCACATATGAATAATTCAATTTGCTGCCATCAATAGCTTGGTTTTTTCTAAATAAGCCATCTATCTAGGGGCTAGGAGGAAAACTAGCAGGAGCGTAATATGACAAGTGATGTTTCTGGATAAAAGATGGCACTGCATTTACACATGAACTCCAACAGGAGGGTATTAGGGCTAGTAACTCATGTAATATTTCATTGCCACCACATTTGACAAGTTATCTGCCCATTAGTTTTAGTATAAAGAACTCATAAGATATTTATAAATGTTCAGAGATACCTAAATAGGAAATCATTTGATTTCAGGGCTGGGCACCAAAAAGAGAAGTTTAAAGCTTTGACAGAAAGCACAGCCTTCTGTGCCCAGGCCTGGTAATTGCTGGAGCAAAGTGGGGCTGTTAATGCTAATGAGAGATGTTTCTGAAACCTCTTTCCCTCCAGACAATTATGATTTTCTCAGGCAGAATAACACTGCACCAGGACCTGGGGAGCACTGCTATTAAAAACCAAATTAAACATGAACAAGTTGCAGCGATGTGCAGGACCCCTGTTTCGGATCACAGAATCCCAAACTGGTTTGGGTTGGAAGGGACCTTAAAGCTCATCCAGTTCCAACCCCCTGCTATGCACAGGGACACCTTCCACTAGAACAGGTTGCTCCAAGCCCCTGTGTCCAACCTGGCCTTGAACACTGCCAGGGATGGGGCAGCCACAGCTTCTCTGGGCACCCTGTGCCAGGGCCTCAGCACCCTCACAGGGAAGAGTTTCTTCCTAATGTCTCATCTCAATCTCCCCTCTGTCAGGTTAAAGCCATTCCCCCTTGTCCTGTCCCTACAGGCCCTTGTCAAAAGCCCCTCTCCAGCTTTCATGTTGGCCTCTACAGTACCACTTTGAAGAGACACCCAGATCAAGCGCCCTACATTGCAAAGGCACCTAAAAATCCCACCAAGAAAAGGGAAAGGTTTTTGATACCAAGTAGATTTTTCCTTTGTCCTGCTTACTTTTCCAGCCCTTTTTAGCCTATTCTCCAACACCTGGCTAAAGAAGGTTTTGCTGGATTTGGATTGACAAGAGGGAGACGTATTTTTTTGCTGCCTAAATGTGAGGCTGGATGTGTCAATAACACCATTAGGCAATTCCTGCTGCAGTCGCTTGCATCACTACCGCATGAGAGGAACTAGGGCAAAAAGGCAGCAACTAGGGATTTTGTTTTGATTAAGAAAACGAGGCTTCCCACAGCCAATTTTGAAGTGCTGTAGAAGGGTGTGATTTGAGCAAACACCCTTCACATGCCTCTGAGAGGAACTTTCTGTCTCCCTGCGGAGGCACTGAATGCTGTATTACTGGCACACGCTGGGAAAAACACCTCTCTCTTCCTGCCTTATGAATACAGGGGGAAAAGAGAATAAAGGAGAAGTGAGGCTCTTGTTGTTGGGTTGCCCCTGTGCTGATCACAGGCGAGACACTGGTATTAGAGGAGGTGAAAATGGAAGTTTTAGGACTTGTTATATCTCAATGGAGAAAACCCCAGCAGCAGAGAAACACCAGCAAATAGTATCCTGATCTCAACCTGCCCATTCGAGCTGAAGCTATGGCTTTGCTCCATGCAGCCAAATGGTCTCTGCTAGGTTAGGAGTCTGTGACCAACGCTGAGTGAAGCAGCGTGATGCGCATCCTCCATTCCCACATACACAAATCTGTGCCCTATTTGAGCAGCCAGTTTCAGCCAAACCCAAACAGGTTTCTTTGGAAGTAAAAACAATGCAGCATTTAAGAAAGCATGAAGTTGGTTTCCATAGTCTGCCCCATTTGGAGAACAAAATGTGTCTGGCTTTACTGTGAGCAGTCAATGATGCATAAGAGCCTAAAAGAAAACATTGCATTTGGGATCTAATGAAGTGTTTCACTCCAGCAGCAAATAAAATCTTTTATTTCAGAGATATGGGATTCATTGCAGTTTGAAACCCAAAGACTTCTGATTTTGTGTTCATTCACAGACAGAAATGTTTCATATTTGATCGATAATGCAGAACAATCTGCTTATGCCTAGCTCAAGGCAGAAGAAAGTAAGAGACTATTATGTTGGAATGGTAAGACAAGCTCCATGTATGTGGATGGATGCTGCTGGCCCCAACCTTGCATAGCATTTAAGCACATGGGTCACCTTCAGTTTCTGATCAGCCCATTCAGAGACAGGAGGGAAATGCTGGTCTCCAATGGGACCAGTGGGAATTTTGCCATTAGTATCCATGAAGTTGGAATGTACCCAACAAGCAAAGAAGAGCGATCGCTCACCGTCCTGTCTGGAGGAGACAGTGATACAGCTGCTCCCATGCAGACCAGCTTCCAAAGCAGCTGATCCCATGCAGATCAGGTCTTGGAAGCTGCACACTTCACCCCAAACATGCCCTCCTCCCTCCCCAACCTTCCCCACATATCCTAATTGACATCTGACCTCTAGCTCCTGGAAATCCTCCTCTTCCTCCACATCATAGGAGAGCGTGTGAATCTTGATGTCATCTGCTGAGAGGTCGATGAACTTGCTGTCCGTGTACTCCAGGCTGTCTTTGGTGGGAGAGCGGTCCTCGATGAAGGTAGTTTCACAGCACTCCGAGCTGATGCTCTCGCCCCACGAGCGCAGCACGTTCTCCGAGTAGAGGATGATGTTGGGCCGGTAGTGAGACTCCACTGTCTGCTGCAGCATGTTGGGGTCCAGGAGCTGCTGCACAGGGTCATTCCTGCCGTTCTCCAGGCAGCCCGAAGAGGAAAGGCTGCCCGCTCGGTGGGTCTGGTACTGCGGGGTTGGGTACACAGAGACCAGCCCGTCTCGGCTCTCTGCCACCAAGTTCCTTGTATTAATCAAACCATTCCTTTTCCCGGCTTCAGTGATCTTATTGTGCATTAGCACACTGTTCTGCTCCACCAAGCCATCCATACTGGGAGGTGTGCGAGGGGGTAGGACGAGTGGCCTTTATTTTCTTATACCTTAGAGACAGGTCACACTGGGGCAGTGGCTCCCATTTTCCTGGGGAAGAAAGGAAACAGATACCAAGGTGAGGACAAAGGCAATGAATAATGTAACAAGGCACCCAAATCAGCTTGTCTTCTGCATCACTTCAAGAGGTAATGAGTGGAGACTCAACAGCAGCCTTCCAGTATCTGAAGGGGCCTACAAGGATGTCAGAGAGGGAATCTTCTTCAGGGACTGCAGTGATAGGACAAGGGGGAATGGCTTTAACCTGACAGAGGGGAGATTGAGATGAGACATTAGGAAGAAATTCTTCCCTGTGAGGGTGCTGAGGCCCTGGCACAGGGTGCCCAGAGAAGCTGTGGCTGCCCCATCCCTGCAGTGTTCAAGGCCAGGTTGGATGGGGCTCAGTTCCCCCTGAGCTGGCTTGAAAAATGTTCAAGGCTCCCACGGGATACCAACCATCCACCCCATTTGAAGCCAGAGAGATTTGGCATGGTCCTGGAATGCCTCAGGAGATAGGAGGGAGCCTGTGGTGTTGCTCAGTCCTGCCATGGATGTAAGCATCCATTTGGCTGGTGCTTACCTGCCATGCATTTAAACCAGCCTTGTAAACCAATCTTGCAGATTCTGAGTGACACTTTTCCCTTGGGATGGGGGAAAAAAAACCATCCAAAATGAGGCAAGGACAAGACAGGGACCATCCTTGCTACACAGAGCTCCTCCAGCAATAGGGCAATGCACTGCTCAAGACATCCTCTCCGGAGTCCCGCGTAGCAGTGCAGCTTGTGTGCCTTGGGGAAGGTCAGCAGAGAGAGATGCGGATGGCAGCAAGCAATCAAGGAATATTGCTTAACCCTACAGTCATTCCTGTCTGTAGCTGGCTGTAGTTACCTTACCAGAATCTGACCCGATGTTCTCGGCTCTGCAAGTGTATTGCCTAATGGTAAAGAGCTGGTGAGACTCTCATGCCACTTCATTGTAACATCTTAACAGGAGGAAAAAAAAGGAAATAAACTAAGGTGGCATTGATTTTTCCTTTCCAGGTGAAATTCCCAAGTGGCTGGCCATTAGGTTTAAATCAATAGCACCTTGATTGCCAGTGCATTCTGATGCATAGCTCTAACAAGGTCAATTGCTGTCTAGGGAAACTGAGAAACTGTTGAGGTACCCAGAGATCCTTCATCAATATAAAGGCAGGATTAAGAGCATTGTCAGCCACAAATGAAATTTCACATCCTCAGGGATAAAAAGAGAACCTCCCCTGGGATTTTCTCTTCTCAGCCACCGGCTGAAAGGAGTTAAATCAGATTTCCAAGGCCTTTGTAACCAGCTGCTACCTTGGCATTGGTAGGAGAATTAGACTCAAAGGCTGGACTTCCTTTCACCCACTGCAGGCACCCAAAGGTGCTTCTTGGGGGAAAGTAATTGCAAGGTGAGCAGGACTGGTGGACTCAGTTTCCCTCTGGAGCAACAACACCCATGTGATATACAGGGTGGGGGCTCTCAGCTTAGTACCAACCTTCAGATGAGTGAAGCCAGGTGAAATGAGTCCCCTGTGTTCAGATGGAGGACAATGGAGTGATGCTCAGGGGCAAAAGGTAGCACGTGCTTATGCAGTGGCTCAGAGCCTGTATCCTGCCTTCAGGGACTCCTTGGAGGTGGATTCAGCCACCGTCCTTCCAGCAAGCGCTCTCACTGACCTGACCCAGGCCAGGTTCACAGACCTGCATTAAGATTGCCCCAGTTTCCAGGTCAAACTGCAGCCCAAAGGACAGAGCAGGTAACCTCCCATAGACCACCTGGGGGAACCGGAGGATACCTTCCCTGCAGGGAGCACACACTCAAAGCCAAAAGAGCCACTCTCATTACCTAGGACCGCAGTGAGGTTTCAGAATGATGCCGACAGGAAAATGAAACTCATCAGAGACCTTTAAATAAGAGATCTGTTCGGTCTGCTCCGCGATGCAGGGTTAATTTAACAGGTTTGAGCCAGGTTTCATTTCTCCTTGCACAGTTTGGGTTTTTCCCCATAAACCACTCACTATTACCCAGGCTGACCAGAAATAATTCTGCATTTCAGACTCGAGGCTGGAACAGGAAGGGAAAACCAAATTCAAGCTACTGACAAATATATCAAAGTTCACTCTAATTTCTGCCTTGGGACTAGACATTTATACCCAGGTCTCTGGCATTAAAAGTGAAGCCATTAGTTACTATAACCTTCATTCTTTCCAATTTCTTGCATTTCTTTCCCCCCCCTCTCTTTCTTATTTTAATAAGAAGTTGCAACCAGTGCCAAGACACTCAGTCTGCAATGCTGTGCTTTATTAAGCTATCACTTGTGCTACAGCAGAGCCCAGCTACAGTAGCTGCAGTGAGAGCTACGCTCTGCTGGGTGCTCTGCAGCCTCCTGCTATGATGACAGGGGTTGACAAACTAATTAAGCAAAGGGTGTGAGGCAGGTAAATGCAAGCTGGAGAGAGGGCAAGGAGTGAAGAGCTGAACACTGTGCCCCAGCCCGACAAGGAGCAGAAGCCAGCTTTGCTATTGCCTTCCATCCCCAAACTCCTCTGCTCTCCTGTGACCTGGCAGGATGCTGTGGTCCTCCTGCCTCCATGGGGCTCTCCCCTTTACACAGCTCTAGCACAGCCTCAGGGTGCTTCAGCCTCTTGCAGAGCCCTGCCAGGTACCAGAAGTCCTGTATGAACAAGCAATTCGGTTCCCTCTGAAATACCAGGCTACAGCTGAAACACCCCAGCCCTTCCCTCGTGACAGAGCCGGACATTCATCCAGACAGACCAAATGTCATCAGGTTTATTGGTAGGGAAACTTGGATATGATGGCAAGCTGTGGTGAGGCTGAAGGCAGGGTCCCCATTCACTACCAAGGCTTAAGGCCATACCCACTGCCTTTCCCTGCAGTTCTCACAGAGCATCAGCCAGGAGAAAGGGCTCAAAGAGCTCATGTATCTCAGCATGGGATCCTGAATATAAGCAGAAATCTTCCCCCCATGAAGACAGTCAAGCACTGGAAAAGGTTGCCCAGGAAGGCTGTGCAGTCTCCATCCCTGGAGGTTTTTAAGACCCAACTGGATAAAGCTCTGAGCAACCTGGTGTGAGCTCATAGTTAACCCTGTTTTGACCATGAGACTGGACTAGAAACTGCGTGAGGTTCCTTCAGGTTCAGTTACGATCCTACGATCCAACTCCCTCTGCTCCAAAGTGATTCCCTCTGTCTTCCATGCTCCCAACAAGACATCTGCTGCTCCCACATCCTTCTGCCAACCCCTCAGCGACTCAACACCTAACACCAGCATGGCCAGAAGGGACAACAACCACCCTTTGCAGGACTGTGCCATCAGCATGAACTAGAGCAGCCTCACAAACCCCAGATCCACTGGGTTTGATGCTGGTTCCCCCACTGCCACACACAGAAAGCAGAAGGGAGAGCAGACAAGCCAAATGGTGAGAGCTGCAGCCTGACGAAGGGTTGGAGGATGCAGGTTTCCTGGTGCAAGCTTTCAGTTAGAAGGGAGTTTAAAATGCATAATGCAACTAACTTCATCATGGTTTCCAGACATCTAGAAATTGCAACAACACATATGGACCTTTTAATTGAGAGAAACCTTCATGCAACGCATAGGTTTGGAGAGCTGATTACAAAGTGAAATATTTAAGGGAAGGAAGGGGGGGTTGGAAATCCCTTTCCCACTTGTATTTTTCTTCTTTGTTTTAGCTGGGCTCATTAAAGTGGTTTTGGTTTAAGAGAACGTTGCTATTTCAGCAGCTGAAATTCCTTTTGACCTATTAAGTAAACTACAGGGAGTTTTGTAAGGCAATGCAACTAGCTCACACTGGGAGAATTAGGAATGCATGCATTAGTGATAGCTAAATGTTTACTTGCTAAGAGTGGAAGTAAGAAGACCTCCGTGCTATTTTAGTATTATCAACATGCAGCAAATCCACTGTGAGATACAGGCCTGTTCTGCCCTAAAAGGAGGGACTGGAGTGCAGTGAAGTGGCCAAGGTCACATCAGACACAGTAGCAGAGATGGAAATAAAATCCAGGTCTCCTGATTGCCTGTCCAGAGGTGTATTTAAATGTGGAAACAATTACCATATGCATATTAGTTCTGTCTGAATAATTGATTGCTTGATTCAGTAGCTGAACCAAAGAATGGGGGAGGAGAAAGGAGGAATTACCTTGTGTTGACTTAAAACATTATCCCTGCAACAAAATATTTCCTTTTGAGCAGATGGAAGCGTCTCGCCTGAGCCAAAATTAAATGTGGAGTTTCATATATTTATTTTTAATTGAACAAACTGGGGCTTAGTTTGATTTCCCTCAAGTTGCCTCCAAGGAAAACCTGACACATTCCGGCTTTTCTAGCAGGCCTCCTTCCCGACTGTTTGAGAGCCTCAACTCTTGCTTGAGTTCAGTCCAAATCCACAACTTTTATCATCTGATGATAAAACTGAGCTTTCCAGGTCATAAATAACTACCCTAACAACACCTGATTGTCATGTAAATAGCCCTAACTGCATCTCCACATCAGCAGTGCCTTTTGAGCCTAGCATGCTCTCTCCTGGTTGCAGATACAGACCTTCCGCTCTGAGCCTGGCTATCCAGTAGCACACGCAGCACAGGATGCCATCACACCAGCTTGTATCTCTGGGTTGTTTGCAGCACTGTGGTTCAGAGGGCTCCCAGTACCACTGAACAGGACCATTTTAGAGCCCCAAATGTATTCAGCCTCATCGTACCCCTCTGAGCCCCACCTCCATAGCAGACTGGGGAGATGGAGTTACGAGCAGTGATTGTTGCTTTAAAAAGACCTATCTTTCCTAACAGAAGGCTAAGCTGACCTTCAGTCTCCCTTCATCCATCCCAGAAAGCTGTTCCGTAAAACTCTCTTGATTATGTCCAGCACATTAAAACTAACCTTCGGGAGATAATAAAAAGACAGACACATAATGAAGTAGCTCAGGTCACTACCTTCAGCAGCATGGTCAGGCTGAAGGCCCTTTTGCCAGCTCCAGAAGCAGAAAATTGTGCTGCCTTTCACTTTTGAAGCAAGCGAATACAGCTGTGCTCTGGGGTGTATAATTGCATCCTTAATTGCTGAGCATCTTCATGAGAAAAACTTCTTCCTAAGTGAGTTCCTCAGTCTTCTTGGTCCCTATGTAACAGAGTCTGGGTTAGTTGCTGAGGGTCAAACTAGATTTAAGGATCTGGGAAAGATCAAGCTACCACCAAAACCCTCTGCCTGGTTTTTAGTATTGCAACAGAATTAACATTTCCCAGCTTAGAAGAAGCTACCTGATGCTCTGCCCTATAGGAGTCTGCAGCAAGCCAAAGTCCCTCCTGCACACAGCAGAGCATCTAAATGAACCTTGAGATGCTCACCCACAAATATCAACATTACATGGCCTCTTGGTCTGCCTGCACCAACTCCAGTACTTCCCTTTGACACAAAATCCCTCTTTAACTGTGTCTTTAGCCAGGCTGGCCCACAGATGTGGCTCTAGGGCTAAACTCACTCAAGTCTCATTCTTGATGGGGAACCAAGCACCTGCATCACCCAGTTCTTGTGTACACCCAGCTCATCTGGCTCTACTCGCACTCCCACATTGCATATGAAAAGCAAAGCAGGACAACATGCCAGCCTCACACTTGTTCTGCCTGTAACACACCAATACTACGCTCTAGGCTGGGATTTGAGGTGTTCCTGAAGCAGGAGTGGTAAATAAAGAGAGGACAGAATAGGAGCACAGCCTGGTGGTGCAAGCTTGGTGCAAAATGAAGGTTCCCATTCATTACCTCCTGCCCCGAGCAAAGCACCCCAGGGCTGTCAGTCACTTTGCTAGAAGAAGGCTTCTGTAATAGTGTGAAATTGCCAGTGCCAGTTTATCAGGGCGAGGATGATTTGATTAAAGCAGCCACTGCTGGGGCAATAAAATCAGCCTTGCTTCATCAGGCTCCAGAAGAACTGCAGAGCCAGGAATACGCTGTGGGACACAAGCTATACGGGGTGATTCAGATGTAGCCAGACAGGGCAGGCAGGGAAACACTGAAAAGCAGCGTCAGTGGGTGTAGGTTGACCTTTACAAACCTTTTTTAATCCCATACTCATCCCTCCCTGCAGAAATCAGAGCTGAAATGAATAATGGGGCCCATTAGACTTGGGGCATTACCAGAGCCTGAAGAAAAATCCCATAACCTCCTCCCTCTTGGAGGAGAACAACCATGGGACCATGAAGATTTTTATATGGGAGGCACGGGCATCTGGCTGGCTGCAGATCAACTCACCATTGCCTCCATGCTCTTGCAAGCCACATGCAGTAGGGAGAAGGGATATGGTTTTGTTGCAGAGAGCACATGAATAGGAGCTGGAAGGCTTTAATTATGCCATGACTGTCTTCCAAGCAAATTATCCATTCGTGAGCTCCATTTCAGAGCTCTTCATTCTCCCTGGGGATTTTTAAGGGGTCCAAGCCCTCAACTCAAGCACATAAACCCCATTAAAGCACTGCTCAAATGATGCCAACTTGATGTGAACAGTCAGTTCATTCATCCCGTGCCTCAGTGAACTAAAGCCTTAAAGCTTAAGGACAGAAACACTTCACAGCATGGATTTGAATGGATGGTTAATGAGGGAACTTTGCACATTCAGGTTGTATATAGATGCATACACACAGATACACATCCAGAAGAATGCTGTGTATAAAGTGTACTAACAGAGTGCTAACTGCTCACACCTCTCATGTTCTGCACCTCTGTTTTGAAATGCAGTCTTTGCTGGTGCAAGGCAAATAACCAGAGTTTGCCACTCTCTCCATGTTATGACACCAAACGTGAAGCCCAACATCTTTTGATTCCTAAGTGCCATAACTTGCACCATCCTACCCAAATCCTCAGGGTCACACCTGATGAGGAGCATTCTGCTGTGATCTCATTGCTCAAAGTCGTTTCCAACTTTTACTAGGGAAAGAGCATTGAGAAACCTTTGATTTGATAACCAGGGGATGTGCCTTCAGACATGAGCAGATGCTCACGCACACACAGGCACTATTCACATTTGTCAAAGCAAAGCCACTGAACACGCAGAGGAATTTCCTCCTGTTTAAACCTCTGCAGTTCTTTCCCACTTTTCCCTAATGGCCCTGTACAAACAGTAACCTGCAAGAAGTCGAATCTCCAAAGCAAAGAAAACATTTGGAAGTCCCAATATGTTCTCTGCAATCTTAATAACCACAGAGGCAGTATTAAAAACTCTCCTGGGCAGAAGCATTTGTAGCTGTCTGCAGGTAGGAATTCACAGTAAAGACCAAAACCTCTTATCCAGCTATGTTGCACCATCACTCTAACACTATCCTCAGAATCCAAAGTACTTTAAATTCACAAAGCAGCCTTCCTCAAGTTAAATGTGTAGTGGTGGTGCCCATCTACACCAGTACTGCATTGCATCTGCATTTGTACAACGAAGAGCCTCCCTGTGCCTGTGAGACTGATTCCAGAGCCTGTGGCACCAGTGCTGGGAGATGTCTGCTCTGACACTTAATAAAAGGAGACTTCATTTAATTCCTACAAATGCATTTCTCCTATGTACAGCCTGGCATGTCCTGTAGTTACCAGGATGCCAACAAAGCGTCACCTTGGCCAGTAAAATCAAAAGTGGTTTATTCTTTGGGGTAAGGTAATTGGAAACTAATCTAGAGAGCATCTAAATGCAGCTACTTTGAAGATGATAGCTCATTAACTATAATTAAGAGCAAGTCATTTAAATACATGAATGTAGGAAAGTGCATTCTCTGCTCTGACTGCAATAATCCCCCTGAAAGTACCAGCTAACTGGGTTTAAGAATATCAAAGCATCTTTTGATTGTTGCTAATGCCCTGTTTACAAGGGATTAATGACTAATTATTTGTGATTTGAATATTTAAGCTCCCTGGAAAGTTTAGGGTGTTTTTTTCTTTGGCTTCATTCTCTCTCATTACACACTGAGGCTGCAGCCTCTTGGCTCCAGCTGTTTCGAAGACACGGTTCAACAGATTGCTCTCCAGAGGAACTCCTGCCACTGCTGCTCTTATGGGGGGACAAAACCTACCACGACCATCACCAGTCCAGCACAGACCCTTGCACCTCTCCTCCTGCAGCACACTCTGGACCAGCAAGAGCTGCCAGTCCTGTTCCAGGAAGCCTTGCACTCCTGCAGTGCCTGTTCCAGAAAGGTCTCAATGCACTTGCCAGCCTCTTCCTACTGAATCACAGAATCAACCAGGTTGGAAAAGACCCTCAAGCTCATCCAGTCCAACCGTTCCCCAGCACTGCCAAGGCCACCACTAACCCACGGCACTACGGATCTCTTCTGCACGGTTTGTGAACGCTTGCAGGGATGGTGACTCCAGCACTGCCCTGGGCAGCCTGTTCCAATGCCTGACTGCCCTTTGGGGAAGGAATTGTTCCCAATATCCAGCCTAAACCTCCCCTGGTGCAGCTTGAGGCTGTTTCCTCTTGTCCCATCCCTTGTTCCTTGGGAGCAGAGCCCAGCCCCCTCCTGGCTCCATCCTCCTTTCAGGCAGTTGTAGAGAGCAATAAGGTCCCCCCTGAGCCTTCTCCAGACTAAAGGTTATTCTTGATCTTCTGAAGGGTTCTCCTTGATCCCTTATGGGACGCTTTAGGAGGATGGAGCAGCCATGGGGGACCTACCCAAGGTCACCCCTCTCAGCACCTGGGTAGCAGGGACCACTCCTGCCTCCTCACCTGAACCATCGCTCTCTCTAACTTGGCTGTCACTGCCAGCAAACTAAAGGATGGGAAGGAAAAGAAATTCAGCGCGGCGCCTCTTGAGCAGGGACAGGGCAGCGCAGCCCCTCTTCCCCTTCCCAGCGCAGGGTCTACCCTGCACAGGCAGGGTACAGGGTGCTGGCAGGGAAAGATGCTCTGCCCCCATGAGCGGGAGGGGGTTCCTCCTGCCCAAGAGAGGGGAAAAGGAGCACCCCACGCACACCTTCCCTTCCAGTGCTCCAATCCAAACCTTGCCACTGGAAAAGCCGGATCCCTCCTTCACTGAACCCCCCCCAACCCCGGGCAAGACCGGACGTGTACGGCACCGAGGCGGGTGTCCCCCGGGCTGGGGCAGGATCGCTGCGGCCCCGGGGTGGCCCCAGACCCTCGGGGCTGCCCACAGGGAACCCCCGTCCGGAGGATGGGGATGGAGGGGGTTGGTGCATCGCTCCCCTGAGGGAATGGGGTGGAATGAGAGGGAATGGAATGGGATGGGATGGGAAGAGGGGGTGTCGCTCACCTGCAAGGTGACCCGCAGCGCGGTGCTCCCTCGCTCCCTCCCTCCCATCCGCTGGGGGCTGCAGGAGGGGCGGCCGGGGTGGGGGGGGACCGGCTCAGCGCCGTGCCGGGGACACCGGCATCATCCCGACAAGCGGGAACCGGGACCGGAGGCTGGAGAGCGGGGACCGGGCAGGGCTAGCGGGCTGCGGGGCTGCACCGCCGGGCTGCACTGTGCGCTTAACTCGCGGGGAGGAGGAGGAAGGGGAGGAGGAAAGGAGGAGAACCAGCCCTGCGTGGCAGCGCGGCCAACTTTCCTCCTGCAGCAGGAGCAGCATCACATCCCTCGCTGCTTACCCCCGCCGGCAAAATCTCCTCCTCCTCCTCCCTGGCCCTTCCTCCCAGCCGGGGGGCCGGGGTGTCTCCGCTCAGCGCCTACTCCGGGGGTATCGGCTGCCCCCCACTCCTTGCTCTGCCAACGATGCTCCCGCAGTCACGCAGGCACCTATGTGCTGGCAGCTGCCTGTGTTGCTGGAGGATGCACCAGCTCCCCGAGGCGATGGGGAGCTCCAGCAGGTCTGAGGAACTTTGTGGGTTTAATTTCTCCAGTGACAGCGTGCCAGGCTGTGTGCTGCAGCACTGGGGAGGGGAGGAAGGGGGGTGTTCCCTGCCTTCCTAACCTGTGCGTAATGCGGGTGAGCTTGGCTCGTTCATCCCTCTTCCCATCCCCAACACTCCTGCTAGCCAAGTCATTGCCTACAGGCTTCTCAGACACTTCTTTCTAGATGCTTCAACACCTATGGCTCAGAACGCTGCTGGAATATGACACGCCTGGTTTAGAGCACTGCTTGTCTTGACCACTGCAGGTAGAGAGACACGAGGCCTTTTTATAGCATCCCAGACTGGTTTGGGTTGGAAGGGACCTTAAAGCTCATCCAGTTCCAACTCCGTGCCATCTGGACCAGGTTGCTCCAAGCCCCATCCAACCTGGCCTTGAGCACTGCCAGGGATGGGGCAGCCACAGCTTCTCTGGGCACCCTGTGCCAGCGCCTCAGCACCCTCACAGGGAAGAATTTCTTTCTGATGTCTCATTTAAATCTACCCCTCTTGTTGCCTTTGTGTCTCTCCCCAAGTAAAGACTGATTCCTCTCCCTACCTGCTTATTGCTGGCTGTTGCCCATAATCCCAAAATAACCCCTGCCAAACCTGTGCTGAAGGAGAATGTTCAAGATTTAAACCACACATGAACTAACTTGAACCTGTCCTGGGGATTTTCTGCTCTTTCCCCTGTTTCACAACATTTTAGTTCTCTTCCAAACTCCAACTTTCAGCCTATCCGAGTGGTGGTCAGAAAGGATTTTTCTCTCCATCTAAATATCTGGTTCATTCTTGCTCCAGCCTTCAGGGAGGGTCTGTGTCTTAGAGAAAACAGTTTCTTTCTTAGTGTAATAGGCACTGGGAGAGAATAAATACGTAATCAGCTGAAAAAATAACCCCGAATTATGATCACCCTGATTCTCCAAAGTGCTTTTCACCTCTCCTTTCTTGGGAATAGAAGCCTGTAAACCACAGTCATTACGCTTTTACTGAGTAACACTTTGAGGAAAAAGGCTGTCTTTCTGTTCTGCTTGTAAAGGAACACAACTGTAGGGGGGCTGGCTTCAACCAGATGACTGCGAGCTGCTACAGTGCAGCTACTTATGGCCAAGCACAAGAGATACCAGCTGGCTTGGATGGATTGTAGAATCCTGGCAAAACAGTTTTAGTGACCACAAGTATTTGTGGGACACTAGGAAATGGGGCAATATTTCCAAAAGGATCTGTTAGATTATTATTCTTTTTTTCTTGGAATTAGAAGCAAGCAACAGCAAAAACGCAGCAGGGAAGAGATTTCTGGGTCATCAATCAAATTTCCTGGCTTCCAGGCAGCCACATCCTGTGATCCTGTTTGTTTTCTTCTGACTCTTCCCAAACAAAGTGTTTTCCATGCTGTTACCAAGGGGAGGTTCAGTGACATCAGGAAAATAACTGATTTTCTCTAACACCATTTCTCCACCTTTTCCATTCTTGCACCAAACTAGATCACGTTCTTCATTCAGACCGTGAAGACCACTGGCCTTTGTGTCCATGAGGAAACCAAGCCTCATTTGATTGAGTTCTGCAGCAGAACCAAGACCATCCCAGTGGAGCAATCCCAACACAATCCCAACTGTTGCTCCAGACCTACATTCTTCACCCTTTTCAGTTGCCATCCTCTTCTCTTGCTGAAAACCACCCAAAAAGGAGCTTACCAGTGCTCTGACTAGTGTTAATTGTGCCACTTCCCTAAGCTTGGCATAAATTGGCCTATCCCTGATGCTGGGAAGCTAATGACTACCCCTGATTTGATTGTCCACCTTGTACCCTGCTGATTTTTGGAGAGAGATTTCCAAAAGACCAATAGAATGGGACTTGTGGCAAGGTGAATTGCAGCAGATTAGTTTGTGATTTGGGGTTTCTCCAGCAGCGTCACTGAGAGTTCTATTCAACACCAGGTAAACATGGACAGCGCATCCTTAATGCATTGTGCCAACACATTTCACAGCTTCCTGGGTGGGAAGGAATTGGGGAGATTCATGCTACGTGTCTAGCAATGGTCGCTAGCCATTGCTAGACACAGTCTTTAGAATCTTGGGTGGCGTGGATTAGTGTGAGGTGTCCCTCAGGGGCAGGGGGGTTGGAACTGGATGATCTTAAGGTCCTTTCCAACCCTGACGATTCTATGATTCTAATCTTTCCAGTTCTAAAGGCACTTTTCATACCTCCGGGGCTGATGCAGATGCACCCCAATAGGAAAGGTTCTGTGACAGAGAGCACTGCAGTGACAGGGAGAAGCATGAAGTATTGGGAAGGGGCAAGGCAGGGAAGGAGAAGCCTACCTCCCTTGGGCCTGATGGCTGCTGGAGGCTCACTTGAGCTGCTTGCTATTCTAAGTTTATGCCAGCAACCTGCTAGGACAAAGTACATAGCAACCAGGGACCTCTTCTTGCTTTATGAACTGGGATATGAGTAATTGCTCCCCAGGGCTTCTGAACAGGGCTTAGTTGTGGCCTGAGCTCCAGAGAAGCTGCTGTTCAAAGATCTGGTGAATAATGAGAACAAGATTAATCCTTGCAAAAAGAAGAGTGGAAGGCAAGGCTGCTTAGAGCACGGGGAGAGATGGGAGGGATGCAGGGCACCCTGAGGTTGGCTTGGGAGTCTCCATGAGTCTGCTATCTGTGAGGGGCTAGAGATCTGGGAGTCATCAAGGCAGGATGTAAAGAGGAAACGCCAGCTGGAAACAGGAATTACCAGAGATGTACAAACAACTGTTCCTGCAACACGGGGTTTGGCGGAAGTTAAGGAAGGGATGAGCCTTTGCAGGTATATAACATTATATCTCCAGGGAAACTCATTTCACAGCTGGCTGTTCTGACTGGGGCTGTTACAATGACTTGCACTGACCAAGCATTTGACCACTGGCCTCACAGCATCACAGCACCTGGCTGGAGAATCACACAGACCCGACTGACTGCCTGCTTTTTGCTCCTCTGGATGCTCTGCAGGACCATTAGCAGTCATTCTGTGAGAGCTCTTGAAGGCAGAGCTGCTCTGAAAGCCTCCTGGCCAAAACCCCCTGGGAGACATCACAGTGTGGAAGCAGGAAGGAGTCTCTGTCTGGAAACCACATCTGAAATGCTGCAGGAAGAGAGGATGAGATTTTCAGTAGCCATGAGGATCTGGGGAGCATCATTTGCTGGTACATCTGCTGATGGACTAAAACACTCATGGGAGCTGGTGGGAGAAAAGCTGGGCTGTGGTACTCAGCTCTGCAAATGAAGTGTGAGGGTCTCAGTGCAATATATGCTCTCACAGTTTCCAGGACACCCTGAAGAGGAAAATGGAAAGACAGCGACCTGCAAGTGCATCCCTGGGCTCTAGGAAGAGCAGCAGCACCACCTATCACCAGAGAAGGAAGAAGGAGAGAAGATGGACCAAGTGCTGCTCCTTCTCACTGCTCCCAGCACAAGATCGAAGCCCAGACCTTCTAGATTACCAAAGAAGCTTCCTTCTTTCAGCAGAAGAGCCTGGGTTACATCTTTCCCTGCAAGCTTTCTGCTAAAGGCTCCTGCTGGCTCTGTGGATGGCTCCTTGTTTATGCAGCATCCTTCACTGCAGAGGAAACAAAATGCCACTTAATACCTCTAAAGCAACAGCTGGGTGGTTGACTGTCCCCTGCGGTCATCTTTAGTCAGCCAAAAATCCTGGCACCATAAGTGTACTGGTGTGGCCTGAACCACGTTTCTCTTGATGATAATTCAGAGTGATGGTACAGAGCAATCGGGAAGTAGCCCAAAATCTGCAACCTCTTCCTGCCAAAGGCAAGAGGAATCTTTCCATTTAATTGGATTAGACCCCGAAGGCATAGCCAGGAGTGCTTTTAGCTTTCTGGGAAAGAAAAAAGGCTTAGCTGAGGTGGCCGAGCTGAACTTTGTGTTGATTTGCTTGCTGGTAGCTCTGGAACAAGAATAAAAGTGGTTAAGCCAAGCATTTTATTATTTCTTATTCTCTATTTATGGCAGATTGAAAAGTAATATATATATATTTCTTTTTTTGGCTGGATGAACCATATGGCTTAGCTCAAAATAAAGTGTTTAATTGCTTTGAACTCTTCTTTACTCTTATAAACTGGGTATGGGTGTTTACATGCAAGAGGAAGAATCTATATGCAGTCACTGCCCCTCAGCCTAACCTGCACCAAGAAAGCATAGCTGTGAGATATCCTCTGCTAGGAGGATGAAGTAAGCAGGGTGTAGGACTTTACTGCAGGTACTAGATTAATTTGGAAGGACCTGCTAGCAAAAGTGAGACAGAGCCATCTTGCTGTATACACAAATCCTCATCCCAGTCTCTGGAAGGGGTTGTCTGTACCTCCTTTGCTCTAAATGAGTTACATGAACTGAGATCAAGTGACCCAGTTTTTCGTATGTCCAGGAGCTGAGAGACTCAGAAGTTAAGGAGGAAAAAACATCACATTGCTCTTATTTTGCCATCTGTGCCTCGTCTCCCTGCATGCAGCTCTCAGGTTTGAACTTTCTGGGATGCTTCCAGAAAGCCTTACAGCAAGGGCTGGCACCGATGCTTCCCTATTCATAAGGCAGCTCCTTGACCAGTATGGACAGCTCCAAGGGAGAGGGAGCTGTATCATTTCTGTGCTGCCTTGCATTGCTGGCCTTCTGAGGTAGCTAGGAAAGGCATAGGTTAGTGCTAATTGAGACGTGGCCATCTGTCAGACAGGAAACATGCCAAGGCCACCTTGTGATTATTTTATAAGGGAAG